GACCTCTACGCCATTGCAATTCTCTGTGTAAATCTGTGCATGCCAATTTTCAATATGACCACAGGTAGGCATTTACAGAATATACAGAAAGAGAAAAGGCCCATTGACCTGTATGTTCAAGAATACATAAGCAAGAGTAGTAACTTGAGATTGGTGGGAAAGAGATTACATTAACAAAATAACCATACTCTTCAACCTGGCCAAATCTTGGCTTCATTCGAATCTATTTCCTTAATTCTTAAGCAAGTTTCCAGGTGAAAATCAGCAATGTATGTTGCATTGTCCTCCAGCCATGATTCATGTTACGATTGGGAGACTCCCGATCTCTGAATTCATTTTCTGGAGCACCTTGGTGCAGGGCTGCCCAAACATAAGGTTCTGTTACCTGCCTCCGAACTCCTATGAGAGTAATTACATTAGTACTTAAAAATTTAAGCTGGTAGAAAATATTGTAGTGAAGGATAACTATCAAGAACATTGTTAATAATGTATGGACCTCCCATAATGAAGCCTGTTCTCTGTTTAAAGCAGAATTTGAGCACCACAATGTTGAGTTCTGTGCCTGACAATAGCACCATGATCTCCACAATAGAAGGAACAAGGAGCCAGGTCCTGAATCCACCCCAGCCCGAATGGGGATCAAACCCCGTGCTGTTGGCCCCAATCTGAAACACACTGACCATCCAGGCAACTGAGCCTGATAGAAGTTCATAAGATTGTGAATGGCACGGATATGGTGGAAAGTAGGAGACTTTTTTCCCAGGCTGGAGGGGTCAATTACGAGGGAACACAGGTTCAAGGTGCGGGGAGGAAATTTAAAAGAGATGTGCGAGGCAAGTTTTTCACACAAAGGGTGGTGAGTGCATGGAACGTGCTGCCAGAGGAGGGGGTGAAAGCAAACAATAACAGCATTCAAGAAACACCTGGATGAATATATGAGTAGGAAGGGAATAGAGGGATACGGATCCTGTAAGTGAAGACGGTTTTAGTATGAAAGGGCAAAATGTGCTAGCGCAGGCTTGGAGGGCCGAAGGGCCAGTTTCTGAGCTGTTTTTTGTTTTGGTTTGTTTTAGCCATTCAAGTAGTCCATGTTGCAGTGGCAACACTCTCTTTTACATAGATGTTGTGGGCTAAAACTATCGATAAAAATGGTAGCGGTTACTTTTCTTTCCATCAGATGAATGCCTCCTGATCTTACTGCCTGCAATTGGCATTTGTTGGAAGCATTTACTAGTTAGTACTCGGTTATTTTTGGCTGCATTATGAGCACACTTTCCTTGGCCAATAAGTCCAGGAATGTGACTTAAACCCAAAGCATCTGACATAGAAGAAGTGATGCCACTTGAATCTTACAGATATACGCTATAATGTTGATGGCCAGTTTTTTCTACTGTATTGATGTTTATTAAACAACATTCAATTGGCCATAAAATTTTCTTTTCAGTCAGTACCTAATGTAAATAAAGTGATTATTCATGTACAGTAACATTTGAAATTTTGATAATACCTCCAAAGCATTCCTTCCAGTAAAAGATGAGATGTCAGTAGTAATAGCTTTATGCTGACAGAAAGTTGTGAATATTCACTGAAAACAAGATTTCCTGCAGCCAAACACTCTTTCGAGTGCTTTATTTTGACATGTTTGAATTACTTTGTCTCTGATAAAGAATGTTATTTGCAAGGAACCTTGGCATTTGGAACCTATTAACCACATTCTATTCTATAGCAAGTGAAAGGAGCAAGGATGCAACCAGTTAGATCTTGCTTTCCTCCAAGAACAAATTTAACTCGAAGACGGTGGCTTCTCATCTTTGATACCCAAGTTCAAAACCAGCCATTACTTGCAATTGAAATTTTCCTTTTTTTGTTATTTGGTTCTTCGGTACTATTAAACAAATTAATGGTAAGGTCCTGGGGAGTGTTGCTGAACAGAGAAACCTTGGAGTGCAAGATCATTGTTCCTTGAAAGTGGAGTCCCAGGTCGATGGGATAGTGAAGAAGGTGTTTGGTTTGCTTGCCTTTATTGGTCTGTGCATTGAGTATAGGAATTGGGTGTATAGTACATTGGTTAGGTCACTTTTGGAATACTCCATGCAATTGTGGTCTTCCTGCGATAGGAAAGATGTTGTGAAACTTGAAAGGATTCAAAAAAGATTTACAAGGATGTTGCCAGGGTTGTAGGGTTTGTGCTATGGGGAGAGGCTGAATAAGCTGGGGCTATTTTCCCTGGGGTGTCAGAGGCTGAGGGGTGACCGTATAGAGGTTTATAAAGTTATGAGGGGCATGGATAGGGTGAATAACCAAGGTCTTTTCCCTGGGGTGGAGGGAGTCCAAAATTAATGAGTGTAGGTTTAAGGTGAGAGGGGAAAGATTTAAAAGGGACCCAAGGGGCAACTTTTTCATGCAAAGGGTGGTGCATGTATGGAATGAACTACCAGGCGAAGTGGGGCTGGTACAATTACAACATTTAAAAGGCAACTGGATAGGTATATGAATAGGAAGAGTTTTGAGGTATATGGGCCAAATGCTGGCAAATAGGACTAGATTAATTTAGGATATCTGGTCGGATGGATGAGTTGGACTGGAAGGTCTGTTTTCATGCTGTACAGTTCTATCACTCTAAGTGTTTAGTTTAACCCTAAATTGACATTCCCACTCATAAAGGCCACAGGATTGTTGTAGGAAACAGAAAGTTGTCACACTAGGGCAATAGAACTTGTTTCATTTTGAGACTGGGCACTGGTAAGTTTGATCTGACCACAGTTTCCCTAACCTGTGAGTTCATGCATAATATTCACATATGGAGTAAATTTAAGGGGCAATGTCCACTTCATATGTCCTTAAAAAAATTTTCCCATGTAACATATAGGGCTACACTATGACAATCTATGGTCACATAATGGCTGGATGAAAATTAGAACACTATTTCAGTCACAATGGGATTTTAATCATACTGATCATTTTGGCTAACTGGCATATGAGTTGCTCAGTAATGCTCCCAGCCAGTTCTTCAATTATGTCATTGCTGCTTATTGTTCATCAAATGTTGGAGCAATTTCAACATTCAAAGAAAGACAGAGGAATTAATATACGTTCTTTGTAACTCCTTTCTGAAAGGAATTTAGTTCTCTGCTTTAAATTTCTTTTTTTTTAATCAACTAAATTTAAATCTAATTTCCATCACATAATTTTTGCAGATTGCTCAATTAAACCTTTCTTTTTGAATGTCAGTGTGATCTTATCCAAACTGTTTATGTGGGTGATAATGTGAGGACTATAGCTTTGTAAATGAGAAACTGAAGAATTCTAAAAATTGAATCCACCAACCTGCTTCTGTCCCACAGCATCACCTATCTTGTACGTGTGCCTTACCTCTATTTTCAAAATAATTTCTCAAACCACTGTCCATGTTTTTATTATTGCCAGATTTAATTTGCCCGATAATTTCCTCATAGAGATCCATCCAATGCGATCTGCAATTCATTGAAAATTTCACATGTCCTTCACTAATCCTGTTCTCTCATATTATCAATCCATACCAATCTCCATTGTCTTTTATTTCAAAGAACAGTACAGCACAGCACAGAAACAGGCTCTTCAAACCACCAAGACTGCACCAACATATAGCACCTTTCCAAACTAAAAACCTATTGCCTCTATGCAGTCTGTATCCCTCTATTCCTTATCTATTCATATATCTGTCAGATGCTTCTTAAACGTTGCTTTGTACCTGCTTCTACCATCTGGTCTGGCAATGCATTCCAGGCACTTTCCACTCTCTATGTTAAAAAGTTGCCTCTCACATCACTTTTAAACTTTCTCCCTTTTACCTTAAACCTATGTCCTCTGTGTGTTCCAACACATCAAATTCATAATCTCATCCTCATTTACAAATCTTTTCATCATCTTGACTCGCCTTTTGGAAACCTCTTTTGGTGTTACAATTTTCTATGTATTCACCAATTTCATCTTTGAAGGCAGAATCTGTAGCCATCTCAACCTACCTTTTCAGTTCTTTTCTAAACTCTTTTGCACAACTATTCTTGATCTCACATTGAGAAGATTCCAAAGACAACTACTTATTGAATATTTGTTTTTTTCATCTGTATTGTTTATTGCCTTATTCTGCTGTATTAAGTGTTTGGATCATTTTCTGTATTGAACATGCAATATCAACGCATGTTGGCAAACTATTCAGAAAAGAAAATAAATGTGCAGATCTTAAAAAAAAACAAAACCTACATTTATATGACAGTTTTCATGAGCACAGAAGTCCAAAGGACTATAGTCAATTAAGTACTTTTGAAGGACAATTACATTTTAATACGAAAAAAGCAGCCAATTTTCATGCAGCAATATCCTACGAACATCAGTGAAATCATGACTAGATAATCTAACTAAAAGCCTGTTGCCTCTTCACAGTCTGTATCCCCCTATTCCCCATCTAGTCATGTATCTGTCAAGATGCCTCTTAAATGTTGCTATTGTATCTGCTTCTACCACCTCCTCTGGCAGCACATTCCAGGCACTTACCACCCTCTGTAGAATAGTCTGTATCTGGTAATGATGTTAGAGACACAAATGTTGGCCAGCGCATTAGGGATAATTCATTTGGGTTTCTTCAAGTGTTTGATTTTTGTGCTGATGTTTTGTGATGGGACTTGAAGACATACTCTTCTGACTACTGACTAAGCCACAGCTGACATCAGCCAGGTATAACAGATTAAATTTACCTCATTGAAGACCGAGTTGATGTGTTCAAGATATTCAAGTGATTAAATAATTTGTTTGCATCTGATTGGTGGTTTACTGTCTCACTTAGTTGCTGCAGTCTGAATATGCTATTTCTCAATCATTGAACCTTTTGTGTAAACACTGGAATTTGAATTTGTAAAACATCAAGTGAACTTTGAACTGTATAAGTAAAGATATGTAAAATTGAAATTTCCTCACAGCATCTGCAGTTTTCCATGATTTTCATCTCTCTTGATATCTTACAGTGGACTGTTTGGATCCAACGTGCTCAAATCATGGAGTTTGTGCCCAAGGGGATTGTCACTGTAGCCCAGGTTGGGGTGGATTAAATTGTGAAATCCCTAGAGCTCAGTGCCCAGATCAGTGTACAGGACATGGCACCTACATTCCAGAAACAGGCCTCTGTAGCTGTGACCCAAGCTGGATAGGCCCAGACTGCTCAGTTGGTAAGATAAAGCAGTTAATTCTCTGCATGACTAATCAGTAAAATGATGGCTGTACCTAAGTTCCATTCAATATACACCCTAACTCTGAAATGAGACTGCAGGGTTTTTCCCCAATTAATACAATCATCTGAAATTCCTCCTGCCATTACTTTGTTAGAAGCATTAAAAATTTGTTTTAAATTAACTTCTTTTTTCTGACTTTAGAGAGTTATTTTTTGGTGTGACCTGAATTATAATTATGAGGGTGGAGTTCCTAGTCAATGTGTTGCATGTCAAACAAGGTAAGGTACAGTGTTCCATCTGCTTCTAGGTAATGAACACATAAGAACACTTGGAAATGCTTGGGATATGTCTCATTAAGTTCCTCAGCAAAGCGAATGAGAAGTCCAAACGAAAGGTCTTGGACTGGCAGTTAGCCAAACTCTGCAGCACAACAAGTGATTTGAGTTAGAATATCTGATTGAGAAAAATGGCAAATCAAATGACAGGACAGCCTTGGGACATATTCACATACAGGGTGAATAAAATACAAGGTAAATACATTCCAGCTAGGATGAAAAGAGGCACATCAAAGACAGAGAGTAGTTCCATGGATAACCATATAACCATGATGCAGCAATGAAGGGGATCATTCAATCCATCTTGTCCATGCCAACCCAAAGACACCCAGCTTCCCTTTCTAATCCCATCTTCCTGCACACGGCCCTTAGCCCTGCAGCTTAAAGCACTAAAGGTACAAATCCAGATACTTTTTAAAAGGAGTTTAGGATCTCCTTCCTTGTTTAGAATCTGCCTCCACCCCCGACTCAGGCAGCAAATTCCAGACATCCATCACATTTTGCTTAAAAGTTAGTTTTTCCTCATGTCCCCTCTAATCATTCTGCCACTTAGCTTGAACCTGTGACCTCTGGCTTTTGAACTGTCTGCCACCAGAAACAGCTTCCTTCTGTCTACTATATCTGTACCCTTCACAATTTTGTATACCTCAGTCATGTCACTCCTCAGCCTTCTCTGTTCCAAGGAAAACAACCCCAAACTCTCCAATCTCTCCTCATAGCTACAATTCTGCAGCCCTGGCAACATTCTAGTAAATCTTCTCTGCACTATCTCTAGAGCAATTATGCCCCTCCTGTAATGTGGTGACTGGTACTGTGCACAATACTCTAGTGGTCACCTCACCAGTGTCTTATCCAGTTTCCTCATTACATCCCTACTTTTGTATTTTATACCTCTGCCAATGAAGGACACCATTCCATATACCATCTCTACACCCTTAACTACCTGTACTTAGGGACCTGTGCACTTGCATGCCAAAATCTCCTACTTCATCTACCCCTCTCAGTATATTCCTCTTGTAAATAGATAACAATAGGACTTAACAATGAAGTACTTGACAAATGCTCAAGAAACATACAAGAAATACAAAAGAATAAAATCAAAGTACTGCAGATGCTGGAAATCTGAAACAAACACAGAAAATGCTGGAGAAAGTCAGCATGTCTGGCAGCATCTGTGAAGAGAGAAACAAAGTTTATGACATACCACACTCAAAACGTTAATGTTGTTCCTCTCTCCAAAGAAATACAAAAGGTCTGGAATGGAAGCAACAAGAGAAGTTAGAAAAGCAAAGAAAGAATGCAACTTAAGGGAAATAGTCAGAATTTTGTAAGAACTATAACTGCATTTGCAGAAGAAAAATTGAACGGTTAGAATTGAAGGGCACGAATAGTATTTAAAAATTAAACATGAGATTGACTTTATACTTTTTGTATTTTTTTCCTTCCTCATAGAGTCACAGAAGTCTAAAGCATGGAAACATGCCCTTTTGTCCAACTTGCTCATGCTGCCCAGTTTTCACAATTTAAACTAGTCACATTTGCCTGCGTTTGGTCCATATCCCTCCATACCCATCTCATCCATGTAGTTGTCTAAATGTTCCTTCAATGAGAAAATTGTACTCGCTTCCACCACTACCACGGCAGCCCATTCCATAGACTCACCACCCTCTGTATGAAAAAATTGCCCCTCTGGACCCTTTTCTATCTCTCCCCTCTCACCTCAAACCTATGGCCTCTATTTTTAAACTCCCCTACTATGGGGAAAAGCTGTTAGCTATCTACCTATGTATGCCACTCATGATGTTATAGCCCTCTATAAGGTCACCCCTTAGTCTCCTATGCTCCAGGGAAAAAAGTCCCAAATTATCCAATCTCTCCTCATAACTCAAACCTTCCAGTCCAAGTAGCATCCCAGTTAATCTTTCCTGCACTCTTTCTAATTTAATAATATCCTTTGTGTAGTAGGGCAATCAGAATTGCATGCAGTACCCCAAATGTGGCCTCATCAACATCTTATACAGCTGCAACAAGACATCCCAACTCCCACATTCAGTGCTCTGACCAATGAAAGCAAGCATGCCAAAGCCTTCTTCACCACCCTGTCTACGTGTGATTCTACTTCCAATGAGCTATGAACTTATATCCCTAGATCTCTTTGTTCTATTACACTCCCCAGAGCCCGACCATTGACTGTGTAATCCTGTCCTGGTTTGCCTTACCAAAATGCAGAACGTTGTGTTTGTCTAAATTAAACTCTGTCTGCCACTCCTTCGCCGTCTGGCCCAATTGATCAAGATCTCACTGTATTCCCAGATAGCCTTCTTCACTGTCCACTATGCCACCAATCTTGGTGTCGTCCACAAAATTACTAATCATACCTCCGAAATTCTCATCCAAATCATTTATATGGATGACGAGCAACAGTGGACCCAGCACTGATGCCTGTGGCACACCGCTGGTCACAGATATCCAGTCTGAAAAACAACCCTCCACCACCACCCTCAGTCTTCTACCATCAAGCCAATTTTATATCCAACTGACTAGCTCCCCCTGGATCCCATGAGATTTAACCTTAACAACCTACCATGCTGTTCCTTGTCAAAGGCCTTGTTAAAGTCCACATAGACAATGTCTACCACACTGTCTTCATTTACTTTCTTGGTCACCCCTTCAAAAAAACTCAATGAAGTTCATGAGACATTATTTCCCACGCACAAAGCCATGCTGACTATACCAAATGAGTCATTGCCTCATCAAATGCCTGTAGATCTCCTCCAAAAACTTACCTGCCACAGATGTTAGGCTCACCAGTCTGTAGTTCCCACGTATTCCCCTGCAGCCTTTCTTAAATAATGGCACAACATTAGCCACACTCCAATTTTTGGGCACTTCACCCATGGCTATCAATGGTACAAATATCTCCACTAGACGCCCCACAATTTCCTCACTAGCCTCCACACAAGGTCTTGGGATACACTTCATCAGGTGGCAGGGATTTACCTACCTTGGTGCATTTTAAGGTTTCCATCATATCCTCTTCCTGCTGTGTTAGTTTTGATTTGTTTGCTGAATTAATGAAGGATTCTTTAATCCTGTATGATGCTTTGTGATGCTTTTGGTGTGACATTTGTTCGAATCTGAATGGAAGCAAGATTTGAGCTCAGTTTTAACTATCTAGCAAACATGTGGTGAAGCAAGTGATGTGGCCATCCAGGAGTGGAAGCTGGCTGATTCAGCCAGTTTTAATAGTAATTTGCTGACTTTCCAACCAATATGGCCGCAGAACTGCCAGGAAGCAACTTTCGAGCTGTAGCGGAACACCATAGGTCTGAGCTCCAGAATTAAGTACATTTTCTGGGAAATGGGAAGGAGACTGGCACAGAACAGGGCCAAAGAAAAATAAAATCATGCTGCTCCTGACCAACAAGGAAACTTCAGAAACCATTTTGGCTGTTGGTGCAGGCAGGTTTGCCTGGTCTAAAAGCCTCTTCTGTTCCCCCTTCTTAAGCCTCAGCTTAAAATAGTACATCAGACCCCACTGCCACCACTGAGATCTAATCTGAATATTTAACGTAAACCCTGCAGGTTTGGAGGATATGTCTTTGTTGCTTGAAATGTTAAATTACAGTTGGCAAGATCAGGTCCAGAAAGCAGTAGGTCCTACATTTCATTTTAATTAGCGCACTCCTGCTCCCACTATGGCCAAAGGCGTATTAATGCAGTAACTGGCAGAATTTTTCGATATAGGTTTCAGGGTAAATGTGCTTCAGCATTCACAGATAATCTAACATGTTACAGAAATTAAGAAAGTAGAGCTATATGATAAAAAGCTAACTTTCAACATTCATATCTTCCTTGTTTGATCTTCAGTAGAGAATATTCAACTCAACTGTAAAAAATAGCTTAACTGGCTTAGAATCTCAATCAATAAGGAACTGTGTGATACATTTGCCTTGTACCTTATGTTGAAGGGTTTTCCTTTGTGGGACGAGCAAAACCTAATAGAAACTCAGGTTCCAATATCTCACATGGATGAGACTATATAGCACACAGTCTGATTGTCGTGTCATTTAAAATTCTATTTCCTATCTTCAGAAGTGTGCTCTGTGGACTGTGGTACCCATGGCGTCTGCATTTCTGGTGTGTGCCGATGTGAGGATGGCTGGACAGGTATGGCGTGTGATCAGAGAGTTTGTCATCCTCGCTGTGCAGAGCATGGGACCTGCAAAGATGGAAAGTGTGAATGCCGAGAGGGCTGGAATGGAGAGCACTGCACCATTGGTAGGGAACAAGGTTGATTGCTCATTTCTAATACAAATTTTATATAAATATTTATAGTTTTGTTAAATCATGTCTCTACATGTCTGCTGAGTGTATTTCCTTATAGTGGGCTTATAACCATTGTTCTATAATGGTGTGGGATGGGAGAGAAAGGGAAGAAGAGAGTATGAGTGCTACTTCAATATCAGAAATGAATGGCAAGGTCAGAGGACAAGTCAATTTTAAGGACTCCTGTGTGCTTGCTACAGAGTCACTCTCTTAATTAGCTGCCTTGTTCTTGGAGGAAAGGGTTTGTGGGCTCAAAGAAAGCAAGACTGAAAGAGACCAAAAAGACCTCTAAAACTGATATAAATCTTTGACAAAAGAGAAATTTTGAAAATAGCAGGTGAAAAATACTTCCCTTATTTTCCTTTATTTCACCTTCCTCTTCATGCATTCTGCTGATGGAAAATAGATTTTTTTTCTAGTGATTTATCTCAGGAATAAAAGTAATTCATTGATAGAAATCAGCCACTGCTGTGCATTGATTTTAACTATTTAGGCTCTTATTTTTTGCCCTCAATATCAGAGCTAAACATTACGGAGAAAATAAAAACTATTCACCTGATTCTGAACTAATGTAAATTTGTATCAAATTTTCATACATAAGAAACAAAAATACAAGAATGTGCATGTTTTCCAACTCTCTTTCAGAGTGGTCAGTGCTGCTACAAATGCCAAGTCTGTTTGTATTCATCAGTGTTCATTTACAATGTGCCATTATTCCAATTCTGTATGAACTCATTGGAGTTTATGGATGGATTTTCACTAACAAGGCAGATAGCTTGATCGAGGGAATTTCCCAACCCACTACTCCCTTCTCATTGTTAGGAAAATGTTAGATATAAAGGAATGAAGCAGAATCAACCAGCATGACTTTATGAAGGAGAAATCATTCTTCACAAATTTATCAGAATTCTTGGAGGGGGTAACAAGCAGGATAGATAAAAGGGAACTAGCAGATGAAGCGTATTTGTATTTCCAAAAGCCTTTCAATGCATATAAGATGACCCCATGATGTGGTGGTAGGATATTAACATGGATATAGGATTGGCTAAATAATGGAAGAGAGAGTTGGGATAAGGGGGTGTTTTAAGGATGGTAACCTGTAACGAGTGGCTAGATATTAATTTTTTTCTAGCCTGCAGCAGTTTGTTTGTCAATCAAGAAAAGGATTTTTGTTTAATCTGTGTGAAATGTGCTCTCTCCCTTCTCCCTACTGATGAGACATTGGATCTTTTGGAAATTGAAGTGGAACATCTACATCTGGGTACTGTCCAACATTTTTAAAGATCCACAGAGACTTCATGACTCCATGAAAATCCATCTCTATTTTGTTTGTCAAATTTTCTACCAAGAAAAAGCAGTGGAAGATACTGTAACCTTGGTATTCATTGTAGTAAACTTCTTGCATCTCCTGCAGTATTAAGGTCCAGAATTACTCAGCACTACATAGAATCTACACCACACAAATAGGCCATTTAACCCAATTGTCTATACTGGCGTTTATTGAAACATAGAAAGCAGAAGCAAGAGTAGGCCATTCAGTCCTTCAAACCTGCTTCACCATTCAATATAATCATGGCTGATGCAACTCAGTATCCTTTCCACTTTCTCCCCATACTCTTTCATTCCTTTAGTCCTAAGAATTGTATTAAAGTCCTTCTTGAAAATGTTCAATGATTTTGCCTCCACTATTTTCTGAGGCAAAGAATTCCAGTGGCTCACCACTTTCCTCATCTCAGTCCTAGATGGCCTTTCCCATCTCCTTAAACAGGGACCACTGGTTCTGGATGCCCTGGTCATCAAGAACATCCTTCCTGCATTTATCCTATCTAGTCCTGTTTGAAGTTCCTATGAGCTTCCCCCTCATTCCTCTGAACTCAAGCGAATATAATCCTAATCAATCCAGTCTGCCTTCATGCGCCACATACTTGACTCCTAAATCTCCCCTCCCCCTACCACATCCCAAAACCAGCCCAGCTCGTCTCCGCCTCCATAACCTGTTCTTCCTCCCACCTATCCCCTCCTCCCACCTCAAGCCGCACCCCCATCTCCTACCGACTAACCTCATCCCGCCCCCTTGACCTGTCCGTCCTCCCTGGACTGACCTATCCCCTCCCTAACTCCCTACCTACACTCACCTTTACTGGCTCCATCCCCGCCTCTTCGACCTGTCTGTTTCCTCTCCACCTATCTTCTCCTCTATCCATCTTCTATCCGCCTCCCCCTCTCTCCCTATTTATTTCAGAACCCCCTTCCCCTCCCCCATTTCTGATGAAGGATCTAAGCCCGAAACGTCAGCCTTCCTGCTCCTATGATGCTGCTTGGCCTGCTGTGTTCATCCAGCTCTGCACCTTGTTGTCTCTGACTCCTAATAAAGTTTGTTTGATTTGGAGCATGTTGAGTAAGTTTGTTGATTCTTCTCTCTGTTTTGTGGAGCAAGAAGAAAGAAGGAAATGAAGATTTTGCAATCCCTTTTTTGTTCCATTTGTAATTCAGACCTTGTGCAAACAGAACTGAGCACAACTGAGGTGTAAAATGTTGTCATTCATTCACTTAACTGTGTCTGGGGAGGAAGGGTTATGTTAGTGTCAGACCTCAGCCCCTGTAACAAAATACTGTCTGTACTTTGCAGTTCATTTGTGTTACATCTCCGTGAGGAGGGATGATCAGCTTCTTGCTTTTAAACATTCCTCAGTCAGTTGCAACAGACAATTTATTTTTTAACGTTCAATTGTCACACTTCATTTAAAACATAATTAATTAGATCGAAAGAAAAGAGTCAGTTTCAAAGTTGTATTGAGTGAAAGCAAGAGTAAAAACACATCAAGCATGCACATAAACACAGGTGATAAGTTTAAAAAGAAGCAGCAAAGAGTAGCTTTATAAATGGGAAGATAAGTGCAGTTACAATTTGAATTTATTATAATCCTTGAGGTCTTAAATTTTAAACCCAAGTCCTGAATGTTTAGCTTTGTGTTAGCTCTTCAGCAGTGGCAAAGTCTGTAGATCTTGTTTTCTTAGTGGTGGTTATTGCTCTAAATTTTTTTTGCCAGTAAGAGACAGGCAGAGAGACTGTCTTCCAATCCTTACTTAGAGTTCCATTTTCCCTTGTCTCAACCTGTGGCCATGTGATCACAGCTACCATTTTAAATCAGTATTGCTCTTTTTACAAGCCACTGCAGTACATGAAGTCTCCGTTATTAAAATCAGATAATGGAAGTTGATGGTCCATTTTTACTTCAATCATAACAGATGCAAAATTGTCATAACCAGACTAAATCAAGAGGTTAACGTTGTACAAAGTGCAGTTGAACGGAAGCTGACTTTGGACTAGGATGTACACTCAGGTGTAATGCAAAGGTAGCCTAGAAAACTTGTTCTTTAATATGTCAAAGAGTTTGGCAGTAGGTGTAAAATACCTTGCAACTTTGAAGGACAGTACTGTGGAGAAGAATCCAGAATGGTCTTCACAATGGTGCATTCCTAAACTCAGACATTAGGTGATAGGGGAAATAAACTGCATCTAATGATTATTATAAATGAATCACGCAGGACTCTCTTAAGTAATTTGGAGCAGAGGATTTCAAATTAACATTTTCAGAGACATAGTTCAAAGATTCAGTTCATTTCAGATTGTTGGGCTTATTTGAAAGTCACTGAAGGTAGTTTTTCTAACGTTTTATTTCAGTTGAAGTCTATTCATTGCCAATTTATTATGGCTCAGTTTATACAGATGCACAAAGTCATGTTTAAATCACATAATTTTTAAAAGGAAAAGGTGTTTGTTTTTATAATTGTTTTCCTATCTTGCTCCTTAATTTAGGTGGTCACAAGAGGAGCAAAAGACACATTGAGCTAAATTAGAGGAAAGAAATGAACTGTGGGACAATTTTTCAGTGGAGTGTCAGTTTTAATCAGCAACCTGGCCAGTTTGTTAGTTTCCAGGCATCACAATGTATGTGTAACACAGACAAGATTCTGTTTGATTTCCCACTGCTGGTGTTCATCTTAAAAAGCGTTGGGCTGGGTATAAGGGGCATGAAGGCAATTCGCTGGAGGTTAAGTGATCTGACCCTCGACCCCACTTGCAAGAGAGCATATCATCCAGCCCCCATTTCTTTTACCAGCAAGAATCTCCATAAGTCAGGACTTCATACCTGACATTCATGTGTTTCATCACACAATGATGCTGCACAAAACCCTCACACCTAAGGCTCACAGTCTACACAAACTGCTACTATTCATTCATGACAGCTACATCACCCAGACTCAATTCATGATACTCATTGGTGCATTTCCCAATCTCCTGGAGGACCAAGTGGGACAAAAAACCAGAAGGGAAAAGCACGCCTTCAATGTCGTCCCCCTCCAGGGAAGAGATTTTGCTGGACATTGTTGAGATGCCCATTGTTGAGTCCATGGCCAGTGATGTAGCAGAAAATAATGAAGATGATGGGATCGTCATGCTTGATCTTCCTTCTCACATCCCATTTCCCTGTCATCCCACAATCTCTATGATTTACCAGCTCCAGATGTTATGAACAGGATTCCCTGATTCTGCAACATAAAATAGACCCACTCCTGTGCACACGCATTGTTCAAGTCACCAGAAAGGACTTTTTTCTTGGGCAAGGTAGCATTTTCCACCCACAAAACCTCACCTTCTCAAAGAATTTGCTAAACTGAGGACAGATGGCAGGAGATTTCTGGTGCCGAATAAGAAGTTTAGCAAAACATTATTGACAGGAGCCACTGTTACACAAACCCAGCAGCAGCAACAATAACCTTCATCTAATTACTCTTAATTTAATATGTAGCAACAAGTTTGGAAAGTACTATGTAATTTTCCCTTTTAGTTCATAATGGTTCTAATTAAAAAATGTAGGTTTGGATACGTTAGAGAGAAGAGTGAAATCATACAAATGATAATCAATAAATATTAATTTAAACATGGAAATACACAGCAAAAGAGGCTGAGGAGAGAAGAAAAGGAACACACTTTCCATTCCACCACCAAGAAGAACAAGGGGACAGACACATGGGAGACCTGCAAGTTTGCCTCCTGACCTTGAACTAAAATGTCATTCTTTACTGTTAATGAGTCAGAGCCTCCGAATTTCCTCCCTAATAGCACTGTAGTTATGTCTACAGCACATGGGCTGCAATTGTCCAAAAAGGTGGCCCTCCACTACTTTCACAAGAGCAATTAAAGATGGACAATTTTTAAAAATTGTTTAAAAAGAAACTAATACTCTAACAGATTGAGAAGTGACAAGAGAGATCGGGCAAGATATAATTACAAAATAGTGAATCTGTCTTCATGCAAAATATACTTTCTAAAGATTGACTAATAAGTTCAAGGGGATGAATATGATCTTTGGTGTCAGTGCATTACAGTGACAGTGAAACTACAAGATATTTTTCACAATGAAATCAAAACTGTGATTAAAAATAAAATGTCCATTTAGTGTCAACTTTAGTGCTACTGCTGAAGACTGAATTCAGTGGTGACAGCATCATGCTGGTTTTCAGAATTGACATGTGTGAAGTCCATTACCCCTTCTCTTTGCTGCTAGTGTGTTACATAGGACAGATCCAAACCTCTGCACACGCATTGTTCAAGTCACCAGAAAGAATGTTTTTCTTGGGCAAGGTAGCAATTTCCATCCACAAAACCTCACCTCCACCAGAATTTGCTAAACTGAGGAGAGAAAGCAGGAGATTGCTGGAGCAGAATAAGAAGTTTAACGAAACATTGTTGCCAGAGCCACAGTTGCACAAGTCCAGCAGCAGCAACAATAAGCTTTATCTAATTACTCTTAATTTAATCTGTGGCAACAAGTTTGGAAAGTGCTACGTAATTTTCTCTTTCGGTTCATAAGCCAACCTTTTAGTTTTGAAAATTGGTTTGCCTGCTTCATCAGTCATTCTGATATGGATTACTTTATGGTCAAATGGCATTACATTGGAGATTTAGTTTAATAAGTGCTAAAGTCACACTTTATCCTTTTTTAGCATCAAATCATTGAATAGCTTTTCCAACTAAAGGTTAGATTCATACAATACTAACTGGCAGTCTCAAATCAATTCTTCATATAGACTTTGCTGCCTTAATGTGTTTTCAGGTTTTAAATGTATTAAGAAGTGCTAATAGGCACTTTGGATCTTGCAACTGAATTGCCATTGATAATGTTTCCTTTTAATCTCTACTTTTTAAAACTAACAGATGGCTGCCCTGATCTGTGTAATGGCAATGGGAGATGCACCCTCAGCCAGAACAGTTGGCACTGTGTCTGCCAGACAGGCTGGCGAGGACCAGGATGCAATGTTGCAATGGAGACATCTTGTACAGATGGCAAAGACAATGAAGGAGGTGAGCCTTTGATAGGAATATTGATGTTGGCTTGAGAAATCTATACTGAGCTGCAGAAAGGATGCTACCAACCTCACTACCCTCCATGATAAATTGCAATCAGGCATGCATCCAGCTTAAAAGATGATGCAGATGGTGCATTGAATCACGGTCCCGAGGCAATCCAACCTATGCCATCCATTTTCTCAACATGAGAATTCCATGACTGTTGTGAGATATTTATTGAGGGAGTTCTGGACTTGAGTTTGGGGACAATGACATGGGGGCAGAGGTAATGGTGTTGTGCACTTACATTATAAAATCTTGTTCAGGCCATTGCCAATCTTAAATGTGGATTGTCATAACAACAGAACACATAAAGAGTATGAAAGTGGGGAAATTCCAGTGCATGCTTTACTCATCTATTATTTCCTCCTTGATTTCCTTTTGAAGATAATCACTGTCAAATATTCCATTTAAGGGTCATATTTTGTCGCGTTATCCCTCTTTTTTGTATCTCAAAGCTATGCTAGATATTATGACTCACTTCTTCATAATAGCATTTTATAATCCACAAATATCTCCTCTGCCATCATCTCTGTTCCCTTCCCCCTCCACATCAACAGACCTTTGAATTTATTCCCCCGTCTATTAATAATGCTTTCCAGTGACTTGTTTTTGATTCAATTTGAAGGAGACAGCTTGTTTTTAACCATTTACCTTAATTGTTTTAAACACTTGAATCTTCTCTCCCTCCTTGCTCCAAGCCCATTCACCTTCCAAGTTGCAGCATCCCATCAAACTTGTAATTGACCGAATGATGCTCTCAGCTATCTTGCATGTGAATTCCCAGGCCTGTGAGTTAATCTTTTAATCCATTTCTTGATTTATACACTCTTAAATGCAATTTCCACCTTTTTTGTGGTCTAACACATTTGTTTATCACTTCCACCATTAATCCCTTTCCCTTTGCTATAATATTTACTTTTTAACCTGTCTATATTGAATCTAAAGGATTTGTTTCCAGAAGTTTGTTTATTAAAGGTGTGTTCTCAGCAGAGAAAGTCTTTTAACAAAATAGTGTCAGGAATCAGACCCTCTCCTTCTATCATTTAAAGAGGGTGCATGTTTCCCTTGCAAAGCTGCCAACTTTTCTGTTCTCCCTCTATTCTTAATCCTCCCTTTTGCCCACATCTGAGGAAACATTTTCAACCTGGGCCATTAACTCTGTTTCATTTTCCACAGACACTGCCAGACCTGCTGATTGTCTCCAGCATTTTCCAAGTTTTTGGCCATTCTTATGGTGCTCCTTTCCACAGAAGGCAGACAGTACTTTCTTCATTATCCAGTTGAATGATTCTTCACTGTCAGTCAACAGCACTGTTTCCACATGCCTAATATTTTTGAAATGATAAGCAGAAGTGTTCCATTGAAACAAACAACTTTGTTTTCATTTTCCCATCAATTTTTCACCTGAGTGGTGTCCAGCAGTTTCCTGGAACCTGGAGGGCAATCCTGGAGAGTTGGAAGCCCTATCCAGAAAAAACTGCACGGGAGTGGTCACGGTGTTATTTCTCGAACCTGCATATAGACAAGTGTCTAGTCTCTGCTGCTTGACAGCAATGTGACTCACATTAGGAGCTCAGATGTACTGGGATATTCTTGGAACTGCATGTTTCAAAAAGAAAACTTCCAATTGCAAAGAACTGAATCATTTCAACATTTTTTTGTTTCAATCTGTTCATTCTTTTGATTCGTAAATACAGCATTGCCAACTCTTGCTGGTCAATAACAAGCCTTATAATCGAGTCCTGATGAAGGGTCCTGACCCAAAACATTGACTTTCCTGCTCCTCAGATGCTGCCTGACCTGCTGTGCTCCTCCAGCTCCACATTTTATCGACTCTGACTCCCAGCATCTGCAGTCCTCTCTTTCTCCTAGTCTTATGATTTGTGCGAGTATTTTTCCAATGCTCATTATTAATATGGGAAACTTAAAGATTTCTGTTTTATTTACCTACATGAATCACCTTCTTTATAAATTTTCCATAAGTTGTATGGCTCATGTGAATTTTGATTTGATTTGAACAGATTCAACATTAGAGGCAAATGCAAAATAATGTAGATGCTTGAAATCTAAAATAAAAACGGCAAGTGCTGGTGAGAGAAACAGAGCCCGATATGGATTCTCTTATTAACTGGGAATGAGTTGAAAAAGTGATTGCCTCTATACTGTAGAAAATGGTAAAGAGGAGCAGGTAGAACAGAAGGAAAAGTCCAGGGAAGGTTAGAGAGTGAGGGTAATTCGAGATCACAGCTATCACAGAGTAAAAGGCAAAAGAAGTGGCATTACTTGTAGAGGAGAGAAATCCAGAGATGTTAACAGTACGTATGAATGGAAGAATAGATCTCACCTCTACTCAAAAACAAAATCAAGAGGAATAGACACTATGGCAGTGGGAGGAAAAGGGAGGCATTGCAAACAGAGTGGAGGGTGCAGTTCATAGTCTGAAGTTGTTGAACTCAGTGTTCAATCCAGAAAGCTGTAAAGTGCCAAACTGGATGTGAGGAGATGTCCTTCCAGTTTGCCTTGGGCTTTGCTCAAACACTGTATCAGGCCTAGAACAGAAATGTGAGAATAAGAGCAAGAAGGTATGTTCAAAAGGCAAGAGACCAAAGGATTGGGGTCATGCTGTGGAACGAGTGGAGGTCTCCTGCAAGGCAGTCACCTTGTCTGTGTTTAGTCTCCCCAGTTTAGAGGAAGTGGCATTGTGAGCAGTGAGTACAATAAACCAAATTGAAAGAACCATAAGTAAATCACTGCTATAGCTGGAAGGAGTGTTTGAGTTAAAATCAGAAAATATTGGAGAAATTCAGCAGGTCTGGCAGCATCCATAGAGACAGAAACAGAGTTAACATTACAACTCCAGCTCTTCTTCAAAAATGCAACAATTTGGTTTTATAGAAGAGCGTGAGGCCTTGGACTTTGAGAGAAGTTAAAAGGATAACTATTATACTTCTTATGGTTGCATGGAAAGGGAATGGGTGAAGGATGAGTTATTGAGGGTAATAGAGAAGTGCACCATGTTGCCTCAGAATGATTGGCCACTTTAGAGTGTTGACAGGGTTTTGTAGTGGACACTGGTGGTGGCAGAAATGGAAGACTTTGAAGTTTTATACACAGAGCTGGTGGGATGAATAGTGAGCAGAAGAGATACCATTCTGGGAGGAAGGGAAGAGAATGAGCGCTGAAGTGAGAGGAATGAGTCACATACAATTGATGGTCCTGTCAACAACAGTGAGGTTTGGAGGTTTAATCCTCAGGAGAGGACAAATGTCCACAAGGACTCTTATTAATTTTTATAGATGTATCATAGGAAGCAACTATCTGGATGCATTACAGCATGGTATGGCAAATGCTGTTCCCAAGACCGCCAGAAACTACAAAGAGTCGTGAACACAGCCCAGTCCATCACACTGACCAGCTTTACATCCATTGACTCCATTGAAATTTCCCACTGCCTTGCGAAAGCAGCCAACATTATCAAAGACCCCTCCCACCCTAGTTATACTCTCTTCCAGCCTCTTCTATCAGACAGAAGGTACAAAAATTTGAATATATAAACAAATAGATTCAAGAACGGTTTCTTCCCCGCTGTTATCAGACTTTTGAACACACCTTTCAAATGTTAATTCTGATCTCTCTCTCTGCACCTTAACAACGACTGTAACACTTATTTTGCACTCTGTTCTGCTACGCTGATGCACTTTATATGGCATGATCTGCCTGTGTAGCATGCAAAACAACACTTACCACTGTATCTCAGTACATGTGACAACATAATTAAAGCTATCAAAATAAATTCATATTGGAAGCACCACTGTGGAAAGCAACAACATTGGAACAGATGTGACAGAGACAGAGAAACTTTAAGAGTGGAGAAACTGTAGAATGGAGTTCTTAAAGGAAAGCAGGGTGTGAGAAGTTGTTGTCAAGGTAGCTGTGGGAATCAGTCATTTGTAATGAATAGTTTATCCCAGGAAATGGAAACACACAAGTCAAGCAAAGGAAGGCAAGAGTCAGAGATGGAAAGTAAAGGTAAGAGATGGGTGGAAGTTGGAAGGAAAATTGATTAATGTTTCCAGTTCTGGATAAGGACAGGAAGTGGCACCGTTATAGTCATTGATGTACGAAGGAAAGAGGGACTGGAACAAAGAAGGTTCTACAAACCCCATAAAAAGACAGGCATATCCAGAATCCATGCAGACACCCATGACTGTGCCATTTAATTAGAGGAAGTGAGACTAGATAAGGGGAGAAAGTGTTCAATAATAACAAGGTCAGTCAGGCAGAGGAGGGTTGTTGGGAATCGGGACCACTCAGGCTTCTGTTTAAAAAGAATAGGAGAGCCCTCAGATCATCCTGGTGAGGGTTGGATTTGTCAACGGATTGGGCAGCGACAGTGAGGAACGGGCCATTAGGTCCAGGAAACTGGAAATTGTTGGAATAGGCACAAGATATCAGAAAAATCACAAATGGGGGGGTGGCAAGAATCTGGACAAGGGGAGAAATAAATAGTCAAGATGGGAAGAAACAAGATCAGTGGGGGCAAGAAAAGATGAGACAATGAGTCTGCCAGTGCAACCCTGTTTTGGGAAGAAGGTGGAAGCAGGCTGTATGTGTTTCGGAAACTATAAGGTAGGATTCTGAAGGGAGGACAATCTTCAGAGGAGATGAGATCATCATTAGAAGAACTTGTTGGGAAAGAGTTAACGCCTGTGAGGACAGAATGCTTGAGACCTGAAACTTGAGCGAGTAAAACTGCCAACCTTAACATTGTGTGAGAGCTAAATCAAACCAACTAGCTTAGCCCCTCCTTCATCTTTGTGCAGATTAATTTCTGTGACAAGTATAATGCTGAGTACTGTTGCACTAACTTACTGCACCTCACTTCTGTCGGTAAAGTGTGGTCAGATCAGACGTGAGCAGAAATCCTTGCCCAGCTCACCCAAAGTGATCCAGATTGAAAATTAATGTTGATGAAAATATTGATGTAATTATTAAATTCAACAGTGATTCACTTCAGGATTAAGAGTATATTGCTGAAGTCAAACAAACTACATTAATATTGTGCCTGTTGATGATATATATATATAAGCAAATAACAAGGTTGATGTGATTCTAATTCTCTGGGGCAACAACTCTGCCTGAGAGCATCAAGTCTTCCCTTATAGTGATTGTACATGACTGAGACACTGCTGATGCTGCTGTCTAAGGAGGCTATGATATCGAATTTTCAGCCTCCTGCTTTCTGAAGTGGCAGTTCTTCACAGTTTGATGGGTACTTGATTGTTTGCAAGATAAATGTAGAATTGGGTGGCAGATTAATTTACTGGAGATTGTTGTGTAACAATGTTTCTGATGGGGCTAGCTGACAGATGAATGTGCTTATGTTGACTGATGGCTCTCTGGGAGACATTCATGGGAACAAAATGGGCAGATGAGGAATCCACTAACTGTCTAACTCCACGAAACCCTGCCAGGTTTACCCAGTAATGAGAATCTAGAACAAAAATAACTATAAAACCAATCTTTTTACTGTCTAGATCAATGGGGTGTTGGTAATGTGCAATATCTCACCCTTTCTTGTCATATACACTGTAGAAAAGGATTTAATGGCACTATGGAATATAGTGTTTATCACAGATTCCATTTGCCTTATTAAAGAAACAGCCTTCTTCAGTATTTATGTACATATCCCTTGTAGGTTATATTATCACATTTCACTCCATCACTTAACAATCGTTACGCAGGCAAGCAGTCTTCAGTACTTTGAATACCAAAATTCCTTTCCAGATTTTCAATTCATAATGACAACAATAACTCTGTACATATGATTACAAGAGTTTGAGACACATACATTATTAAACAACTTTTTTAAAGAGATGTTTGGGAAACAAGATGTGGTGTGGGGATGGGGATTACAGGTTGAGAAATTTTCTGTTAATATATAATGTTGTAAATGAATTTTTTAAAATGTGTATTTTGCCACATGTAATGGACAGGGCAACTCCCACATACCCAGGTCAATTTTTATCACAAACTCAATGTGAGCAAGTTATCCAATAATTCATTTCATCAAAGTTTTTGTCATCATGGATATGATACTTTTACATCTGTGAGATAGAAAGTCACAAGTTAAACCTTTTCAAGCTACCTCTGTAAAGGAGCCTATTTAACAGTAACATTGACAGAGACCTTAAAGTCCCAGGGGGACTCGTCAACCATTCTGTGGAATGTTAAAGAAGCACTGGCACTTTAATGACATCTTATCAAATCCTCAGAAGCATCTCAAACTTCACTGTTAATCATTTTAAGCTGTTTTTTTATGCACAATAAAGCCACTTCAACAGTAATAGACTGATTGGCCAATTAAAGAGTTTTTACACTAAATTGTTTAAACCAGAAAGAGTTCCTACCCGTTTTGTAAATAATAGAACATTGAGCATAAACCAGTACAGCCCAGGAACAGGCCCTTCATCCACCATCTCTGTGCTGATCTTGATGTTATTCTAAACTAATCCCATCTGCCTGCTCAAGTTCTATATCCCTCTATTCCCTGCCAGTTCATGGGTCTGTCTAAATGCCTCTTAAACTTGGGTATCATATCTGCTTCTACCACCTCCACTGGCAGTGTGTTCCAGGTACCTACCTGTAAAAGACTTTCCTCGTACATCACATTTAAAATTTCCCCTCTCTCACCCTAGTGTTCAACTTATCCAGCCTGGAAAAAGACTCCAACTATCCACCTTATCAAAGCTTCTCATAATTTAATATACGTCTATCAGGGCACCCCTCAGCTTCCAATGCTCTAGTGAAAAAAATCCAAGTTTGTCCAACCTTTCCTCATAGCTGATACACTCCAGGCTGGGCAACAACCTGATAAAACTCTCCTGCATCCAAATCCTTCTCATTGTGTGCTGACTAGATCTGCACACAATGTTCCAAATGTGGCCCAACTGAAATCTTATACAGCTGTAACATGACTTGCAAAATTTTGTACTCAATGCCCCTGACCAATGAAGGCAAGCATGTCACGTGCCTTCTTTACCACCTTATCTGTTGCCACTTTCAGGAAGCTATCAGGGATTTGCACATATGATCTCTCTGTATATCAATGTTCTTAAGGGTCCTGTCATTTGCTGAATACTTTCCCCTCACATTTGACATCTCAAAATACATCACCTCATACCTGTCCAGATTAAACTCTATCTGCCACTTCTTCGCCCAACTTTCCAACTGGTCTATATCCTGCTGTATCCTGTAATATTAGGAGTCTTCAATATATACCTGAACAGAAGGATCAAGTTTCTTCTGAAGAAGCAATGTCTCCAATAATATGTGACTCAAAATGGAACTACACTTGCCATGACCAGCCTTGTAAAATGCCCACGTCTGAGAAGGTAACACTAGGACATAACTGTTATGTTGCAAAATTGAACCTGACGTATGCTGAATAAATGTATCCCTCTTTCTGTTATTGTAGATGGACTGATCGATTGCATGGATCCAGACTGCTGCCTTCAGTCCAACTGCCAGTCTAACCCACTTTGTCATGGTTCACATGACCCTCTTGACATCATTCAGCAGAACCAATGGGAACTCTCGACTCAAGTTGTGAGGTCATTTTATGATCGCATTAAGCTCCTAGTGGGCAAAGATAGAACTCACATCATCCCGGGGGATAACCCATTCAATGGCAGGTAAAGAAAGTTCTCTTTTCTTAAGATAAGGAGACAAGTGTGAAAATAGTACTATGCATGAAATTTTCTTTTAAACCAAATTTAGTTTTTGGTTAATTTTTAAATCTGAAGATCGGCATGTTTATTTCCTGTGGCTAAGCAGAGATTTCTTCAGTGCAACTACAGGTAATCAACTCTGAATTTTTCAATTTGTAAACTTTATAAGGAAATATGTCAAGTTCACCGTTTGATTCAGCCCAACAAAAAGAATCTGTCTGTCACTATTGCAAGTTCTCAGATACTTTGGCTTCAATATTATGAAGAGAGTGGGAAGAAGTATTTCTGAATGGAAATCTGGACATCAGGGCTCCCTGGACGTCCTGCAGAATTTAAATGCAGGACACCTTTTACAAATTGTCTGCAGCTTTCCTCACCAGCACCCAGCATGACTAACAATTTGAGTTCCTATTAGGTGAGAAAGCAACTGATGAACAGATGGAAGGCAAGTTGGGGGAAGTCAGAGATCATGGGAATGGGAGGTAAGAAGTAACAGAGGAGATCGAGCATTGGTCAGATATTTATATGGGAGTTGTTAGCAAAGTCAGAGGGGTGGGTGGGAGTTGGGGTTTGGAAGGTGACAAGTGTCAGTCGTGTGTGTGTGTGTGTGTGTGTGTATCTGCTGATCCTGGAGGAAACAGCCCTAAAACCGACAAAAAATGCTGTGTTGGTACTTTGCTGATGGATCTAGCTCTTCTGACCTATGTTTACCTGTTTGGGTTTCTGAGTTGTGGGAAAGTTAAATAATGTGAGTTAAAAGATTTATTAAAATGGAGTGGTGCAGCCTGCTGCAATGCTATTGTTGACGGGTCTGCCCCAGGAGCAGAAAGGTCGCTCATTTGCATTAAAATTGTCAGTGGACAGATTGGGTTTGAAAAGGTTAAAATTTTCCTTTCCACCCTTTCCTAAGAGTTAAAATGAATCCCAAACCAGATCCACTTTAATGGCCTGCTAGCTATGGCTGATACCGATCTGGAAGAATCATCAATCTAACTGAAGGGCACAGTGGGCTGTGAAGTGAAGTTTCCTTCTTCAACGCATTTTATAGGCCCACATGTGTGAAATGGCAGGTGAGGGAAGAGAGGTGGGGGAAAATTAGGCACCATGGTATTGCACCACCTACTTGCCTCAAGGTTATTTTACCCATTGAGAGTGGGAGAGCCATTGAGTGCCCCATTCATCCATGAGCCATTTGAAGGCTTTAAGTGACTAAATAATGACAACTTAATGACCTGCTAGGCAATATCAAGGTGTTACTCGGAGTTGGGGGAGGCCGGAGTCAATTATCCAGCCTGGCCTGGAAATCCTGATGGGCTGCTGTTCAATAAAGTGGGAAGGTTCCACCTTCTGAGGCTCCATAAAGGTGTGAATGTACAACTATCACCAACCCCACATTCTCCCCCTTTACCTGACACTCCTGTCACATGTGCCATACAACCCCCACCTCATTGCCACCATGGGTAGACCTCAACTCTACTTTGATTTCAGCTCCACTGAAGAACACCTTCCTTGGCAATTATTGCAGTCATAGCAGTGGCCACCACTTCCCATGCTAAGTGGCTGCAAGGCAAGGCAAGCCACACAAACGGGAAAGTACTCACCGCTGACCCTTGCGCCAGGAGCCTGCAATCAGATACTTTCTGCATTGCCTGTTTCTGTATGCATACTTTTCCATTTATCCAACATCTCACAGGAATTGGTTTAACTCTGGCTCAATATGAAAAGGCTTTGATTGTCCTTTGCTTTGTGGGTTTAAATCATCTAATTACATGAATGGATGATGAGCTTTCCATCCCTTTTGTTTTATTAGTTCTTCCACAGGATGTGGGCATTTTTGCATAGGTCAACATTTATTGTCCATTCCTAAACACCGAAAGGACAGTTAAGAGTCAATTGCGTGGCCTTGGGTTTGGCATCACATGTATGCCAGACCAGATAAGGATGGCAGATTTCCTTCCCTAAAGGAGATTACTGAATTAGATGTTCTTCTTATGACAATCAACACTGGTTACATGTTCACAATCAGCTGAAATTTTTTTTTCCATTCAAGCTTGTTGTTGAATACAAATTTTACCATGTTCCATGATGAGATTAGAACCCTGTTGCCTGTCAAATTAGCCTGGGACTCTGGGTTATTAGTCTGGAGATATTTTCCTGAATCCTATGCAAACAGATTAATTGAGTACCAAAGAAATCTGGTGGTTTTGCTGTAAGGCTACCAGAACCAAGTAAAGGGAAGGTAACAACACTATAGTCCTACCATACAACTGCTGTCTTGTCAGACAGAGATGATCATTGGTGGTAACTGAGCATCACTCTGCATCATGTGAGAGGAACGGTGCAAAGGAGAGTCCATGGTAACCTCAGCCAGTCCAGTAATTGAACCCATGCTGTTGAATGATCACTGCGATAAAGTTTGACATTTCTGTCTAATGTTACCATGGTAGTTTATTTTGAATAGGTGACAGCACGTATGAAGATTTTATATAATGCCCCATTTGTAAAAAAGCTACTGCAATTTATTACAGGTTATGTCCCAATCAGGTGCCTGAGGAGATTACCAAACCATTTAATTTAAGTCCAAACATCTTGTACAGTTTGTATTATTGAGCATTTTTGATGGGAATTTTAACAATGACTTAAATTGTTTTTATTTCAGTTATTTTGTGGAAGCTATTTCTTTGCTATTTCTTGGTTAAAATGAAGAATCTGTCTGATGTTTTGGTGAGAGGTCATCTGTGAAGCTCTGTGAATCTTGAAAAACCGCATGGAAATTACATGTCAGTTTTTGCAGTAGTTGCAATTATTTGCTATTTCTGCTTACTTGAGGAGATGATTGAGCTTAATAACAACAACAAAATGTGCTTTGTGTCACTGTAATAAACATTCATTCTTTTACCATTTAATAAATTTGATTGTCAGTTAAATCCTCAGTCACCATTGGGTATAACAATATTCTGTTGCTTTCCAAAATCATCAAAGATCAGATGAAGATACACAGTCGAACCATTAAACTGAAATAAGCTTAAGCATGAAATCATAGAACGGTTACAACACAGAATGACACCCTTCAGCTCATCAAGCTTGTATTTTTAAAATTTGTTTATGCAGTTGGTGTCACTGGCTAGACGAGCATTTCTGTTGCATCACTTATTTCCTAAAGAACAGTTAAGAGTCAACTATATTGTAGTAGGTTTGGAGTCACATGTAGGCCAGACCAGGTCTGGATGGTAGATTTCCTTTCCTAAAGGATTTTATTAATTAGATTTTTTAATGACAATCAACAATGGTACATGGTCACCATTAGGCTAATTTTTAATTCCAGTTTTTTTTAAAATTAAATGCAAATTTCACCTGCTATCATGTGTTTCAAACCCATGTCTTCAGAACATTACCCTGAGATTCTGGATTACTAGCCAGTGACTTTACTACTACAAGTATGTCATTACCTCCTAAATTGGCCCATTGGTAAGAAAAATTCAGTTTGTCCCATTTCCCTGACCTTTCCTGGTAACATGGCAAATTTGTTAATTTCAAATACTTATCCCATTCCTTTTTAAAACCCACAATTGAAACTCCCTCCATCACCCTCTTACACCATACATTGCCATTCCTCACCACTTGCTGTATAAAATAATATTTACTCTTGTTTCTTTTGCCAATCTGCATCTTCTGGTACTCAACTCATTTGTCAAATAGAAAGTTACGCCCTACCGCCCACTCCATCAGCTTTCTCATTGTCCTCTTCACATCGTGAGGCCACACCTGGAATATTGTATGCAGTTTTGGTCTCCTTTTCTGAGGAAGGATGCTCTTGCTCTCAAGGGAATGCAGCGAAGGCTTACCAGGTCAATTCCGGGGATGGCGGGACTGACACATGAGGAGACATTGACCGATTTTGCAGGAGCTCAGATGAATAAGGGGGGATCTCATAGAGACCTATAAAATTCTAACAGGACGAGACAGAGTAGATGCAGGGAGGATATTTCTGATGGTGGGTGTGTCCAGAACCAGGGGTCACAGTCTGAGGATTCGGGGTAGACCATTTAGGATGGAGATGAGGAGACATTTCTTCACCCAAAGAGTGGTGAGCCTGTGGAATTCATTACCACAGGAAGTAGTTGATGCCAAAACATTGGATGTATTCAAGAGGTGGCTAGATATACCACTTGGGGTGAATGGGATCAAAGGTTATGAAGAGAAAGCAGGATTAGGCTACTGAGTTGGACGATCAGCCATGATCGTGGTGAATGGTGGAGCAGGCTTGAAGGGCCAAATGGCCTCTTCTTGCTCCTATCTTCTATGTTTCTATCACTGTCCTCTTTACAGTTCACAATACTTTAAAGTTTTGTATCATCTAGAATTATTTTAATTGTACCTGTACACCAATGTCCAAGTCATTCAAGGAAAGCAATTGTCTTAGTACTGTTCCCTGGGGAACACCATTTATGTATGTACACCTTTCTCCAGTCCACAAATCAATCATTTAACTCCACTCTCTGTTTCAATTGAACAGAGCTGTCATTCCTTTTCTTCCATGGGTTGCTGACAGCCAACTGAGCTAACTAACTACCCTAATATTTATATGCCTACAAAAGACTCTTGTGAATTTTCATTCTCTTCTCTCTCTCTCTCTGATTCCTTCACTTTTTTTCTTTCACTGTTACTCTTATCATTCTATAGTCAATTGATTCCAATTGGTATCATAAGCCTGATGCCCATCATAGACACTCTTTTTCTATTTCATAGAGACACATCTTGTTGTTCATCTTGTCATTTTGCCATACAGGCAGTTCTGGCTTTGATTGACCTGTGGGAGCTTATGGGAATGTAGCCTGGCTGTAACCAAACTATTTCCTCTTTATGGCAGCTCATTGTTCCAAAACGGTTTTGCCTGCCAGTATTTCATTTCAGTTTAAATGAGACAGATGCTTTCTCAACTCGCTAAATTTGGCATTTTTCTAATTATGTGTTTCGACTCTTGATTGATTCTTGTCCTTTTTCACGGTTAATTCATACCTTATCACATGATGCGTATTGTTCCTCACATGTTGCCATACTGCCACTTGATCCGCTTAATCCTCGCCATTTCCTGGAAGCAGATCTAGCTATGACTTCTTCCTTGTTGGCCTGGAAAGGTATTGATCAAGATAACTCTGCTGAACACACTGCAGAAGCTCTTCTCTCTTTCTGTCTTTTACTGCAGTACCACCCATGATCATGACTTTATAGGTCCTAGTACTCTCTGTGATTTCTCTACAAATTTGCTCCACTATATCTTTCCCATTAGTTGGTGACCTTCAGAGTACAACCAGTAGTATATTGATTGATGTTTAATTCCGAACAGATAAATCCTGCTATTGGCCTGTCCAAACCATCTTCCCTCTTCAACACAGTAATATGCTCCTTAGTCAATATTGTCACACTTCTTCACCTCTTTTCTTCCAATCTTTCCTGAGCATCTTGTATCCAGGGATATTTAGTTTTTAGACCTTCCCATTTTGAGTTGGGTCTCCTTTATCAACACAACATCATTTTAACGTGGTTATTTGTGCCTGCAGCTCTCCAAACTGCACTTATGTACCTGCACCATAAGCCTGAATTAGATTTGAATGTATTTCCTTTTAGTCTGACCCTAACTGATTCCTTACCATTTCTTGCTCTAGTGATATATTCCTCTCTCAATCCTTTGTGCATCCTGTTTATCTTTCATAATGGTAGATTCTGGTTCCTATCCCTATCAAGTTAGTTTAAATCCTTCCTAGCAGTACTAAAAAGGACTTTTGACCCAGCCCTATTGGGGTGTAAACCATCGATACATGTCCTACTTCCCTTGGAACTGATCCCAAAGTCCCAAAAATTGAAAGCCTTTCCTCCTATACCATCTCATCAGTCACACATCTATCCGCTCTATTCTTCTATTTCTATAATCAATACAGGACTTTCTGTTTAAATCCTGAGCATTCTGCTTTGGTAAGTAAAAACATGATAGCATGCACGAGGCAAAGACTCACATACAAAAATAGCTGTATTGCTGAATCTAAAAATACCTACAGAAAGATAGACCATCCTACCTAAATTGCATAATTTGTGGTTATTGAAGATTGGAAGATTGGAATTAAAATTACAGTCATGACTGATTGTAGATACTTCAGTGGAAAATGTAAAAATTCACCAACCATAAGGAAAGTTACCTTTTCAATTAGAGAGAGTGATTACTTTTGCCATCAACAGAAGAAAATTAAAGGAAGTGTGTTTAGTATTATTTTACAAAAGGTGTTGCATTCTGCTATAGTGTTTGGATTTCTTCCAGATATACTCCAAATGTGCTTGCATAATTCTGTGTTGCATGTGATTCTTTAAAAAAAAATCACAATTTGTATATCCAATGATTGCAAAGTCTGTTATTGAACACACCTATCAGCTGTCCACTTTTGTTTTGACAAATTGGACACCAGCTGCAGCTATAGAAGATGTTCCACCGTGGAATGTTTCCCAGACCTCAAGTCTGGGTTATGCATCTTCACTGTTCTCTAACTACATAGAAAACATTTTTGTTAAGCTAAAGTGTGAAAATGCTGGCAACTGGCCATAACTGTGCTAAATACATAGCTCATTAATGTCATGATTGGCAATGACCATAAATGCAAGTTCTTTCCTCGTAGTGCTGAGGCGCAGTGACGAACAGTATCACTTTGTTGCATGCAGGAAAAAATCATGTTGCTACATGTATCAGAATATTGATAGAATTAATATCCTCTGACATTGGCCATCCTTGCCTAGCCTACGTGTGACTCCAGACCCATATTGATTGACTTTGAATTACCGTCTGAAATAGCTTAACAAGCTAATCAATTCAAGGGTAATTAGGGATGGTTAACAGTGATGCCTACATCCCAAGAATGAATAAATAATAGAAAGAACTGTTTTGGTATGCTGCAGTGTAAATAGTGGCATATTTTCATTGTTTTGCAAGTTTAGTGGAAGTAAATGGGGTTTCTCCAAGATCAAGTTGATTCCAAATTAAAGTGCTGAGCATTGAAAGAGATATTTTCAAATGTCTCAGTCATCTGTTGCCTAAGTTAGGCGGGACTTATTACGATCAAGCAGTCAGAGTTGTTTATTGGTGGCACTTAGAAAAATAACCTTAAGATTGGAAGCCATTTGACCCTAGATACCCATGAACATTGATGTGCTTGTGGACAGTTTATACAATGGAATATTTACCAATGGTAAACGGCTGCAGGCCTGAGCCTATTACAGAAACACATATCACTATATATATACATATATATGTCTTCGCATTGGGGTGAGAGATCACTATCACAAATACACACCATAGCTTTCTACTGCTCAAAGTATTCAATCCTCAAGTGTGTTACCAAACCAGCCTTTTATGTGCTGTTTCATTACTAAATCAAAGGAAAATATTCAACCTAGAACTAGCCTTTTGTTTAATCACAGCTTAGCTTCACTCATCAGAGGACAAGTCTTTACAAAGGACGGAACACCATTGGTTGGAGTTAACGTATCGTTTGTCAAATATCCTCAATATGGGTACACAATCACTCGTCAGGATGGCACGTAAGTTGATAATTAGACTTTCTCTTTGGAATGGCTCTACTAGTAGTGTGCCCTTTCCTCATGGTTTCCATATACCTAATTTATTAATTTAAATATTTTTATTATGTCATTATTACTTCAAGTTTCTTCTATATTTCTCCTCACCTGAGGGAGATGACTGGTCCAGAAATGTAGGCACAAGGTAAGAGATGTCAGCCCAGAGACTCTCCAAATAATTATCCTTTATGTTTCGACATGGACAGTAACTGTGACTGAATTCTTCTTCCATAAGGCCATCATAGGCTGTCTCAATCAAGTTCTCATCCAAATGCCGTCACATATCTCTTCCTGGCTCAGCCCATTAGATGCAAAAGTTGAAATTCAGGCTGATATTTTCCCTTTCAACTGCAGGAACATCAAGATCCATTACAGCCAGCTCCCTCTTCCTTTCTCCCAGTTCTAGGCCGTCATTCTATTACTTTCCAGACCCATTCAGGCCTTCATTGATCCAGCTTAGATCATTCTCAGCACCACCTGTGCCAATATTCAGTCCTAATTGTTGGTCTGTCTGTATTTGTGCCCTTCTTCTATATTGTTTTGCAGGAATTGCCCTCTTATCTTTCACAGCACCACGTCAGTCTGTGGTGTCCGATTGTATGAAAGACCAACTCTTCTACAATCGTGGTTCCACTTTAACCTATGGTTGCCCCACAGTAAAATTGCTGGAAGCACTACAAGTGCAGCCCCAGTTCAAAATATGTAGCCACCAATGGTCTATCTGAATCATGGAATCCCCCAATCCCAACATTCCCCCTACAGTCATTCCATATTTTTTTTTTCATTGCCCTATCTGATATGTCTCCAAGCCATTCTTGAATTTTTATCCAAAAGTAGTGCAGCAATATATATTTTTCCAAGAGCTTAATTTAATCTATTTAGAATCTATAATGTGCACATAGTTGCTGTAACTGCCTCTATATATTGGTTTTAGATTTTGCCCTTGCCATACTGTCCGTCATTCCAATCCGATCTGACTGATACTTGATAATTTTGTCTTTTATTTAATAGTGTTTTTTAAAAAAATAACATTTTTCTGAACCTGACAGTGTGCAACATTGTGGCAAATTTATTAACATTAAAGGCAAATAACTTGGAATACATTACAGTTTAAGTACCACTGAAAACTCTAGAAATATAAAATTACGTTGGTTTCCTCTGACTTGAATGGGGAGTTTAGAAGTAGCTACCAATCATTCCTAACAGCAATTAACTTCAAGTTGACCTCATTGCTTTTTACGGCAATCAGGCTTTGTCACCTTGAAGGGACATATCAGATTACACACAGTTTCACCTCAGCATTAGAATTATACATCGTACAATACAGTATCTTGTGTAATACTGCTACTGTCATCAAGCAATGCATCAGCTGACTTGTGACCAATGCCATGGGACATGTTCTGATTGAGTGCTTTGTGAATCACAGTGGAAAGAATTTGCCTTTTAATAAGTAATTTGGGATGTAGAGAAAATTAATTTTTCTCTAATATTTTGGGATGTAACAAAAGTTAGTTTTTCTCTCAATAACATCACTTGTTCTTACCTATTTTAGTGCTCTGATTTTAATAATTCTATTTTTAAGGTGAAATAATAAATTGAGAATTTTACATTGGAAAATGCTTTTGATGGTCATCATCATATTGCTTGAGGTCACGTAACATCAATGGTAGTATGATTCAGTTTCAGGTTGTTTTCTGTTTTAAGTGTGGCTAGTTTATTTTCCCCTTAGGTTTGATTTGATTGCAAATGGCGGTGCATCACTTACTTTGCACTTTGAGCGTGCTCCATTCCTAAGTCAAGAGCGCACAGTCTGGCTTCCATGGAACACATTCTATGCCATGAATACTCTTGTGATGAAGACTGAAGAAAACACTATTCCAAGCTGTGATCTGAGTGGGTTTGTGCGACCTGAACCAATTCTTGTCTCTTCACCACTTTCAACTTTCTTTAGTTCTTCTCCTGAGCAGAACCCTATTATTCCTGAGACCCAAGTAAGTGCACTGCAAAGATTGTGGAAAACATATCAAATATGGTGGGTTAGGGGAATCAGGTTTCTGAGGAATAAACTCACTTCTCAGCCAGGTGTCTTGTAGCAGCAGTTAAAAGTTCAGTGGGGGAGCCATAGATTTGTCCTGCTGATGTTTAAATTCTACCTGATGTCCCCTGCATCCAGAACAGAAAACTCTGTCTGTCTTCCAGCCTCTTTGAAACCCTGTAAGTAATTTCCTCACCTCCCCATGCCCTCCTACCCCAAATCTTACCTGCGAGATCTGACCTGCCTGCTGGCTCAGTATAGAAGCTAGGCATTTCCCACTCTTCCCACCGAGCAAGCATTAGCAGGGTACCTGTCAGGCACTAGTAGCGCACTGGCATTTTAAAAATAAAATCCAGAATCAAATTTGACTCGACTCTGAGATAAGTAAGGAATGCAATATGAAGTCTTTGCCATACTGACTTTATGCCCATTGTGGACATGAGTCAGATTCGCCCCTCTGGATAATTTGTATTCTGACCCTAGTCAAAGGATTCCAAAACAAATTGTAATATTTAACCTTTTATTTTGAGATAGTTTAGACCTGATTGTGAGATCCTTTTCATGTATATTAAAGAACTGCTTAAATGCCATATAACACAAGAAAATGGGAACATGAAATAAATGCTAGCGAGTCATCTGGCCATTAAATTCTTGTTTGATTATTAATTGCATTGAACTTAAGTAGTGTCCTTACTGAAGCAGAAATTATACCTAGTTTAGAGGATTAATTTTGTAAGAACCAGTAAAAGGGATGCAGTTTTCATAACATCTAAAAGTTTGAATATTTTCATCAAGTTAAATATCTTTCTGTTGCAAATCTACATTATTTTCTTTTAGTTTTGATACTCCCAATTTTGTAGTTTCATTTAACTTATGCAGATGGGTGACTTGCACCCAGCTTTCTCTTGTAACTGTATCACAATTGATTTCAAAGAGGAATGTGTGAATACCACCTGACTGTGTTCTCTTTCTGTTAGTGTGGAAAAGCCTGATTAGCTTTTCCTTTCAAGAGTACAAGATTGATAGTTTTGATCAACAATGCAGAAAATAGTTGCTATAATAGTCAGCTTAAAATAATGTCTACCCAAGAGAATCTGGAGTTGGAAGGAATGGAGATATCAGAGACATTGATGATATGGAACATAGAACATAGAACAGTACAGCACAGTACAGGCCTTTCAGCCCATGATGTTGTGCCGAACTTTTATCCTAAACCTAAGGTCTATCTAACCTCCACCCCTATCTTATACCATCATCCATATGCCTATCTAATAGCCGCTTAAATGCCCCTAATGAGGCCGATTCCACTACCCTCTCCGACAATGTATTCCACACCCCTACCACTCTCTGAGTAAAGAACCTACCTCTGACGTCTCCCCTATATCTACCTCCACTCACTTTAAAACTATGTCCCCTCATAATAGCTACCTCCACCCTAGGAAAATGTCTCTGGCTGTCCACTCTATCTATACCTCTGATCAATTTGTACACCTCTATCAAGTCACCTCTCATCCTTCGCCATTCTGAAGAGAAAAGCCCTAGCTCTCTCAACCATTCCTTGTAAGACCTTCCCTCCATTCCAGGCAACATCCTGGTAAATCTCCTCTGCAACTTTTCCAACGGTCCCACATCGAGTCGCAACCAGAACTGGACAAAATACTCCAGATGTGGCCGAACCAGGTTTTGTATAGCTGGAGCATAACTTCATGGCTCTTGAACTCAATCCCTCTATTAATGAAAGCTAACACACCATACGCCTCCTTAACAATTCTATCCACCTGGGTGACAGCTTTCAGGGAACTGTGGACATGAACCCCAAGATCCCTCTGCTCCTCCACATCGCCAAGAATCTTTCCATTAATCCTGTATTCTGCTTTCAAATTTGTCCTTCCAAAATGAATCACCTTGCACTTTTCAGGGTTAAACTCCATCTGCCACTTCTCAGCCCAGCTCTGCATCCTATCAATGTCCCTTTGTAACCTAGAACAGCCCTCCGCACTATCCACAACTTGACCCACCTTCGTATCATTCGTGAACTTACTAATCCACCCTACCACTCCTACATCCAAATCATTTACAAAAATCACAAATAGAAGAGGACCCAGAACAGATCCTTGTGGTACACCACTCGTAACTGAGCACCATGTTGAATATTTTCCGACCACTACCACCCTTTGTCTTCTAAGGGTCAGCCAATTCTGAATCCAATCTGCCACATTTCCCCCTATCCCATGCCTCCTTACTTTCTGCATGAGCCTACTATGGGGAACCTTATCAAACGCCTTACTTAAATCCATGTATACCACATCCACTGCTCTACCTTCATCCACGTGTTTGGTCACCTCTTCAAAGAATTCAGTAAGGTTTGTGAGGCACGATCTACCCCTCACAAATCCATGCTGACTATCACGAATCAAACTGCCTATCCAAGTGATCATAAATCCTATCTCTCAGAACTCTTTCCAATAATTTCCCCACCACTGAAGTAAGACTAACTGGCCTGTAATTTCTGGGGTTATCCCTATTCCCTTTTTTGAACAAGGGAATGATGTTTGCCACTCTCCAATCTTCCGGCACTATACCCGTGGACAGTGAGGACGAAAAGATCATCGCCAAAGACGCTGCCATCTCTTTCCTCACTTCCCGTAGAATTCTTGGATAAATCCCATCAGGCCCGGGGGACTTATCTATCTTCAAGTTCCTCAAAATTCCTAGTACATCTTCCTTACTAACATCCACCTCCTCTAGCCTACCAGCCTGTTTCACACTGTCCTCCCCTACAACTAGGTCCCTCTCAGTTGTGAATACCGAAGAAAAGTATTCATTAAGGACCTCTCCTATCTCTTTAGGCTTCGTGCACAAATTCCCTTTACAATCCTTGTTTGGCCCTACCCTTTCTCTGGTCATTCTCTTATTCTTCACGTACGTGTAAAAAGCCTTGGGGTTTTCCTTGATCCTATCTGCCAAGGTTTTCTCGTGCCCCCTTATAGCTCTCCTAAGCCCTTTCTTCAGCTCCTTCCTGGCTAACTTGTATCCCTCTAGAGCCTTTTCCAATCCTTGTTTCCTCAACCTTATATAAGCATCCTTCTTCCTCTTAACTAGTCGTTCGACCTCTCTTGAGAACCAAGGCTCCCTCACTCGACTGCATCTTCCCTGCCTGCTAGGGACAAACTTATCGAGCACACGCAGTATGCATTCCTTAACCAGTCTCCACATTTCTATAGTGCTCTTCCCTGACAGCATCTGTTCCCATTTAATGTTACCCAGTTCTTGCCTAACAGAATTATAATTACCCTTCCCCCAATTATAAACCTTACCTTGCTGTATGTACCTATCCTTTTCCATGACTGTTGTAAAAGTAACAGAGTTATGATCTCTACCACCAAAATGCTCTCCTACCAACGGGTCTAACACTTGGCCCGGTTAATTGCCAAGCACCAACTCCAAAGTGGCCTCTCCTCGTGTTGGTCTATCTACATACTGTGTCAGGAATCCTTCCTGAACGCACTGGGCAAAATCCGCTCTATCTAAACTATTACAACTAAAAAGTTTCCAATCAATATTTGGAAAGTTGAAGTCACCTGAACAACCCTGTGACTTCTGCACTTTTCCAGTATCTGCCTCCCAATCCGCTCCTCCACTTCTCAGCAACTAATAGGGGGTCTGTCAAAAAACCCCAACAAAGTGACTGCTCCTTTCTTGTTCCTGACATCAATCCAAACTGACTCTGTAGACATATCATTCTCGAACTGCCTTTCAGTAGCTGCTATAGTAGCCCTGACTAGCAATGCCACTCCCCCGCCTCTTTTACCACCCTCCCTATTTCTTTTAAAGCATCTAAATCCCAGAACTTCCAACAACCATTCCTGTCCCTGAGTTACCCAAGTTTCTGTAATGGCCACAACATCGTAGTTGCAAGTACTGACCCATGCTCTAAGTTCATCCGCCTTATTTCTGATACTTCTAGCATTGAAGTATACACACTTCAAACCATCCCTATGTCCACAATTACGCTCCATCGACCGCATTTCCTTTTTCACAACCTCATTCCCTGTTGTGTCTGTTGGAAGGCTGAATACCTCGTCCTCTGAATTATAAATCCAGTTCCCCACTCCCTGCCAATCTAGTTTAAACCATCCCGTATAGCTCGAGCAAACCTCCCTCCCAGGATATTTGTGCCCTTCTGGTTCAGGTGCAACCCATCCTTACTGTACAGGTCCCACCTTCCCCAGAATGTATATAAAGAATTTTTATAGGTAATATTGAAGCTAAAGATCAACTTTGAAAGATAGGTTATAACAACTCATTGTAAATCCACTTCATATGCTTCAATTTCCTGGACTGTATATCCTTATTATTACTACAGAATTGCAGGCTCGGTATTTCAGTAGAATTCACCAATACTTATGGAGTGTTAGCAGCTGAATCAGTCCTTCTTTCTCAAAGTACAATCTCCAACAGTCCATTACTGCTTTGAGTTCGCCAACTACACCCCTGCTCCCTGCCAATACCTCTCCACTTCAATCCCCTGGTACAGCTCTGTTCCACAGAGCAAAAAGAAAACTACTGAAAGGAAGCTGTAGTGATCGGAATTAAATCTGAGACAACAAGGCGCAGAGCTGGATGAACACAGCAGGCCAAGCAGCATCATCGGAGCAGAAAGGCTGACGTTTCGGGCCTAGACCCTTCATCAGAGAATTAAATCTGATTACTTTTCAGAGAATTTGTTCCACAGAAATCTAATAACAGTGTATGCTGTTTAACCTTCTGAGATAAAGCAAAGAGACTTTTGAAATGCATGAAGTAAAAATTATAAATTCAAGCAATTGAACATAAATAATTAAATAAACAGCTTGGAAACATCTGGGTAAAATATGTGTTGGGTTAAACTATGAATAAGTGTGAGCAGAGAGTGGAGTTGCCAAGGACTGAGTGTGACAAGAAATAAGAGCTAAC